CTGCTGTTAGTATATGTAATATAAAATATGTTGTCTTTCTGTTATAGTTTTTTTTTATTATTCCTAAAAGGAATAATTCCGGGACAAAATCAATTTTGTTTTTAGTTAACTCTTCTAACCATGTTTGAATCACTTTCCAGTATTTTTTCGCTTCGGAGCATGTCCACCAAGAATGAAAGGAGTACCTTGTTGTTGTCCAAACTTCCAACAATTTGGTTTTAAATTTGGGTAGATCTTAGCCAGTCTTGAGGGTTCCACGTGCCAAAGATAAAACATTTTATGTTGGTTTTTCTTGTATGCCGCCGATTTTGTATTTTATAATTCATATTCCAGATCTTTTCCCATTCTTCCAGATCAATAGTATATCCAATGTTCCATGCAGTCATCGTTCCTTTCACAATTTCTTCCGCCCTTTCAAATTCTAATAAATGTTTATATAACTTAGATAATAATTTCTCATCTGGGCCAATCAAGATTTTATCTAGTTTTGGTTATTCATTTTTTATTTCTAATTGTAAAGAGATTGGACAGAAATGTATGTCAAAGAAGAGACACCACGTTCACTGTTTTTAATGTTTATATTTAATAAAATTATTATTTTTTAAATCATCTGGCTTTAAGTGAGTTTGTCGTTAAGCAAATCTGACTTCCCCTATTGACTTTGCTTGTTGGGACCCAGCCAGGAAGGTGTTCTGACCCAACCGGGTTCCAAGAGAGCAAACAGAGACAAAGGCAGCAGCCCCAACCTTTTAAGGTTAATCACGAATTTTATTCCTTTACAGATAAAAGGCTGCTTTCCACTAATTAGAAAAGGCCTTGCCAAGTTGTTTGTCAAAGGCTGCCAAAAACCCAGAGATAAGAACTAATTTACAAGATTCTCCAAACACGAACTAAGATATCCACAAATTGAGCTTCAGAGCTTCTTTGCCTTCTGCAAAAGATGCTTTTCCAAACCTGGCTTTTATCCTCTTGAGAGAGAGGCCATTTCCTTGCAGCCTTACTCCAGAGTTGCCTGTGCTGCTATAATTGTTCTTTCTTCCGAGTAATCCTTCGTGCTCGTGCACTTGGCACAAGCTCCTTGGGAGCCTCCTCTTCACACTTTTCCAGTTTCTTCTGGGTCCAGAGTCACCTGTGCATGGGGAGTGCTCTTCTCCAGAGCTGGCCCCACAGCCTGCCCCCCCCCCCAAATCTCTGAACACCCACAGGGCAACTTTGCAACTCTCCTCCTCTCCCCCAGGCCTTCCTAGGAAGTGGGAAGTTGGTCAGTGTGGATGAGCCCCACTTCAGCAGAAGAGCCTCAGGAAGGGGAGGGGAAGTTTAGTCTGCAACACCCATCACCCCCACCCCATACAGTTATCACCCAAAATGAGACGTCTCAGAAAACAACAACTGCATGAAAAACTGCTGGTGACCTTCTACCGCTGCACCACAGAGAGTATCTTAACTTACTGCACCTCTGTATGGTTTGCCAGTTGCACAGGGGCAGATAGGAAAGCGCTCCAGAGGGTTTAATGTCATTGCCCAGAGGATCATGGGTTGCCCTCTCCCCTCTTTGGAAGAGCTTTACAGCTCCTGATGCCTTAAGAAAGTTCAAAACATTCTCAAAGATCCATCTCATCCTTGGAACCTTTTTTTTTTTTTTTTTTTGAACTATTACCATCTGGCAGACGGTACAGGATAATAAAAACAAGGACAAATAGGCTGAAAAACAGCTTCTATCCCAGGGCAGGAGCTCTATTGAATTCTACTGTATAGTGCAACATTAATGCAACATCAGGGGTTTTCAATTCAATGTACAGAATGTGAAGGATGTGTGTTTGTTTTCATAGTCATAATGTACACTGAAGATGGTGTTTAATTTCGTTGTACGAGGTGGAATGACAATAAACTAAACTAAACTAAACTAAACTGCTGTTGATGAACCAGTTAGTGAGGGACCACAACTCAAAGGTAAAAGCCAGAATTCACTGTGGTTGGCAAAAGCCACCCACCCACCCAAAGAACACTGCATTATAACCTTTGGCTACCTAGCCTCATGCAGAGAAGGGTCCACCACCACCCCACCCCAAGGCAGGGGGTCACAGCTGGATGAAGATGAACGGGAGTCCAGCCCTGCCTTGTCCCCCAGGGCTTCTGGAAGGGCTCTGAACCAGCCTGCCTTCTCCTCTGCAGGACAGCCCTGCTACCCCCCACCTCCATCCCCACAGGGGCCCGAACCCCCCCAGGAGTTCTTGGTACATTTTCCCTTCCGGGACTGAATGGGAACTTCTCCTGACATGCTTTGGTCGCGTACATTGTGGCCCTTGTTGCAGGCCAGAACTGGCCAGGCTTTTGCCACTGTCATCACAAGGGTAACTTTCTGACAGTGAGAAGAATCAACCAAAGGAACAGAAGTCGCCCTCGGAAGTTGTGGGAGTTTCATCGCTGGAGGCTTTTCAAGAAGAGATTGGACCGCTGCCATCTGTCAGAAACGGTGTAGGGACTCCTGCTTGGGCAGGGGGTTGGACTAGATGACCTACAAGGTCCCTTCCAACTCTTGATTATCTGGTATCTGGAGATGCAGGAAGGCACCACCACCTTCCTGGGTGAACTGCTGCCCAGCATCCACGCGGGGCTTTGCGTTTGCCCCCCACCCACTTGAAAATCGGGGCTCCCTGGGATGTAGGGCTCACCCTCCCCTCCTTCAATCCAACCTTCTGCTGTTTATTATCTTCCTTACGGGGATCTCTGCCCTTTCCCTCCCTCCGCAGGAACCCCTCTTGTAAGCTAAAGGGAAACCTTCGGGGGTCCCGTCCGAGCCTGTCATCTCCGGGCGCGGGGGACCCGCGGGGGCGCCGGAGGGGCTTCCTCGCCCGCTAACATTGCGGCCGTCCTTGAGGCGGGCCTGGCCTTCCTCGCGCCGCCCGGGGGAAGTTCGTCCCTCCTCCGACCAACCCCGGAGGAGGAGAAAGAGAGGGGTGGGTCGCCGCCCTCCCGCCCGGCTCCGCTTGGCCAGCCGCTCTCCTCGGGGGGTGGAAAGAAGGCCTGCCCGCCCCCACCCACGAGTCCCGGCTCGGCTCCCACAAAGGGCGGCGGAGCGGAGGGCCCGGCCTCCTCTCGCTGCGCCTTTCTCCGGAGGCCATTTTAGTTGACTTTAGTTAATAAGTCAGGGGGTCCCCAAACTTGGCACCTTTTAAGACTTGTGGACTTCAACTCCCAGAATCCCTCAGCCAGCCAGCCTCTTCTGTGGCCACGCTATGCTGGCTGAGGAATTCTGGGAGTTGAAGTCCACAAGTCTTAAAAGGTGCCAAGTTTGGGGGTCCCTGATTTAGGCCGAGAAAGCGGGGCCCGTGGCAACAGCTCTGACAACTCCCAAAGATGCCCGTTTCTCGACCGCCCTTCATCCCAGCGAAAGAAGGCTGAGGCCCGGGCCTTCCTCCCAGGCTTTTCCCTCTGGATTGACTGAGCTGAGGGGGCGCTCTGCCGTGGCTGCCCTCTTCTCCTTTGCCCCGCCGAGGCCCAGCGCCTTGGCCCTGGAGGGAAAGACTTGGCCTGAAAGAGCGTCTCTTCCTCCCCTGCCACACAGACCACCTCCTCTATGTAAGGGCTTCTCATTTGGAAGACAAATCCATGAGCGGCCTCCAAATGCACCCCTAGCTCTGACTGAGGGGATGTGAAGGGCCTGATGTGGTGGGGGTGGGGGTGTCCTTGGTGCTCCCTGCCTTTGGTGGTTTTTTGGCAGACATTTCGCTGCCAAACTAGATCACATCATCAGGGCTACAAGGGAGCGGGGTTTGTTCCTATTTTTATACGTTAGAGCGAGAGTCTCCAAACTTGGCAACTTTAAGACTTCTGGACTTCCAACTCCCAGAATTGCCCAGCCAGCATGACTAGCTGAGGAATCCTGGGAGTTCAACTCCACAAATCTTAAAGTTGCTAAGTTTGGAGGGCCCTGTGTTAGAGTCATATGTGCTAAGCTCTGGAAAGTATCAAGGCTCCCACAGCTCAGCCCTGAGCTACAGATACTCTTCAGTAGGCTCTGATGTGGCACAAGATCTTCTCTCAAAGGCTCCCTAGACAATCCTCCTCGTTGGGCTGTCCTGGTCTTGAAAAAAAATACAATCAGGTTGTCCTCTTGGTGGTTTGGAATTAATTACCCAGGTGTTTTCAGTTCACAGTCACTCTTAGATTTGGGGTTGGTTTAATATAATTCAAAATGTTATATATCATTGGCTTAATATACTGTATATAATGGCTTAATATAATTCAAGGGTAATTCAAATTGTTATCAAACCATGGCTTAATGTTATGTTTAAACCTATTTGGTGCATATATAAGAATTGTTTTAGAATTGTAGGTTTGTATGGAAAGACCCCTAGATAAGTGGAGACGGTAGCAGCCAAAATTCCCAACAAGAATTCCCCTTAACTATTCAAGCCAAGAATCCTGGAAGTGGCCCTATAAACAGATTTGGATAGGCTGAATAGAACAAACCTGAAAGTAGGAATTGCTGTACATAATGCCCACCTTCACCCACCAAGCCATGCCACGCGCACCAAGCCACGCCCACCAAGCCATGCCCACAGAACTTGTAGTAAAAAGTTTTGAATCCCACCACTGGTTGGGGCTTCCATCTGCTACCCTGTTGGGTCTCTCCATCACCTGCGGAGATGAGTTTGCACTTGGTGCCCGTCTCCCTTTGGGAAGTTCAGAGGATGCGCTGCTGTCTCTCTGCCTATATCTGCTCAGCTCAGCGGATCTGGCTTCGGAGGCCTCACGGTTTCCTCTCTCACGACAGGCGGGGTGCTGCTCTGCATCAGATATGGAGCTGCTGGTCTTTGACACCCTCATGCTTTTCTTCCACCCCCTCCAACATTTCTCTCTCTGACATCCTCTATATATCTATCTTCACGAGTGACAATGTACTGTGAGAAGAGTCAGCTCTTGACTTCTACTTTCCAGACAGCCGCAATCTCAAATGCGTTCAGAAAACCATGAGTCCCAGAAGGCAAAGACCCAGTATGGTTGAGAAAGGTCCTGCCACCACCACTGCTCGTTCCAGGCAATCTCCGCGGATCCTGGTGGTAGACATCCATCCTCCCCATTGGGACAACACCTGCCGCAAACTCTGTGAAGCCTTGGAAAATGTCTTCTGCTTAGCCTGCAGCTTGACAGGCTCATCCCGCATCCCTTCATTCAGCCTCTATGTGGTCCAAAACCAGCAGGAATGCCTGCTGCCCTTCGTGGTGAGTGCTCCCTTACACACATAAGCCCATCTACAGCAGAGTAAAATAACCGATGGTCCCTCTTCTATTTTTCCCTTTGTGCTAGCTATTCTGCTCTTATATAACCTTTGGGAATCTGGCTTCTCTTGCTTGGGAGCTTTTACAGGTGACATTTATAGAGTTTAGTGTTTCTATACCCATGGTGGTTGGCAGCCAAAAGGCTTAAGATACTCAGGTCTTGCAATTGGTGGCTACCTATTGTTGTGGTAAAGCTCATACATACCCTAAGCCCATCTTGCCCTGTTTGGGTGTGATGCCATTCTTTGCCCGCCCCAATCTTCATTTGTGGTTAAGATTGGGCTTCCAGTTCTGGTTTATTAAATATGCCCACTAAGTTATATTCTGTCCAGCTAAAGATCAGGAATTGTTTAATGTGAGGAGACAGAGAAGGGAGAAGACAGTCTGGTAACGGAGATGCAAATCTCCATCACACTTTAACAAAGCCACACAATATATTTGATGAAGGAAGCTGCAAGTCACAAAAACTGACACCTTTTAACAAAATGTGTTAGGCAGAAATGCTGCTACCAGATTCTATCTAACTTTTGATCACCGTAGACTGTCACGGTTCTCCTCCGGCTAAAGGTTATTTTTAATTACGTCCTTTTTCATTCTTTGTTAATACATTCTGTAACTTTCACTTTTGAACTCCTTGGTGTTTTCTGACCTTGTTTCTTAACAAGACATTTCATTATCCAAGTAACCCTAAACAGAGTGTGCAATTTGCTGTAAATGTACAGTATCTTGCACTGCCAGTGTTGATGGCCGTGTGGTTTCCTCCTTGGTAGCTCCTTGATGAGGGTGTTTCTTTTCTCCTTGATTGTTTGTGTGGTGTTTGTTAAGTTCGGGAGATCGGTCCCGGGTAGATCGGGTCGCATAGAGAGGCAAGACTCAAAGTGCACATTCAGCTCTTTATTGAATATACAGTTTGGTCCAGGACCTGCGAGCCGCTTGGCTTTATTCAGCCGGCGGGCGGCTCAGCGGCCGATGGCAGCGCTTTGAATTTCCCGTGATCAGCTCGGCCAATCGCGGTGGATTCTTAGCGCACCAATCACAGTTTAGTTAGCCAATCAGATTGTGGTCCGCATGGACCAATCAGAACTCAGGATTTCGAGAATGTTAATATAGAACAGTGTTAATCCCTTTTTATTTGAGAGTTGGCTGTTGGCGAGGAATTCATCTTGCCTTTTTGTTTCTTTCTTACCTTTTGTATTGTCTCTTTTGACATAAGCTGTTCCAAGTAAAACTGACTTTTGCAATTGACTGGTCGTGATTTAGTCTGTCCCAATGGTATTCAAATGCTGCTCCAGGATGTATTGGAGTTATTATTATTATTATTTAAACTTAGGTATTCCCGGATTCCCAACAGCTCTGGATGACTCACAACAGTAAGACAGATAAGTTACAATAAAGCCAAGGAAAGGTGATAAGAGGGCAAATCAGCCAGACTGGATGGAACGAAGCAAATGGTCTCTCACTCCCCCTCATTCACCAAAGGTGCGGAGAAGAGCCAAGTCACCAGGGCTGCTCTAAACAATGGCAGAGTAAGAGTCATCTAGATATCAGCAGGAACTTCGTACCCGGCGCTGGGATTCAGCTTTGCTAAAATCAGGGTTATGGTATCCATAGCCTTCCCCCTGTTTACTCGCGTCCTCCTTTGGACAAAGAAGGAAACGAGTTCATTGTTCATTAGATGTGTAAATCCTTAAGTGCCGCCTTTCTTATTTTGTCTTTAATGAGATGAAAAGTCCAATGTTCCACTAGTGGAATGTTGCAGTGGTTTTATCACCCTATTGTGTTGCATTTTCTCTGATGCATTATGACATCTAGCTTGTCAGGGTTCCTGCGATTGCCCTAATTAAATCATGAGCCTCGAGCCAACCTTCAAAAGATTCAAAAAGATTTATTAGGAGCCAGATGTCGGCATTATCTCAGTTGAAGCCAACTCTGACCCACATAATTCACAGTCATCTGTGACCCTGTTTCCCCCCTCCCCCCTGGGTATGTCATACATCAGACTCTCCAATGAAGCACGGGATTGGGTATCATCAATCACACTGTCCAATAAAGGATTTTCGGGGGCCTAGAAGATCCGGTAGCCTAGCTACAATCTTTGTAAGATAAGCATGGAATGTACTTCTGGTTCCCCCCCCCCCCCCCCCTTTTTATGGCAACTTGGAAACAGGCATGCTTTACAAGTTGACATAGCCCCTTGTCGTAAAAATAACTCAATAAAAGAGGAACACAGATAAACTACAGGCAATAAATCCTACTTTGAGATCAGAGGTTTATTTCATGAGCAATTTGGAACATGAACAGCCATCATAACATAACAGCATTTCAGTAAGATAATACTTACAAACAACCCATTGCAGTGAGGTCCACTGACATGGCTGAATCCGGCAAGGAGTAGCCAGGGCAGTGGCCCCGAACACATCCCGAGACATTCTTTTTATACTTTTCTGCATGCATTTCACAACTTACTTCTCTGTTCTTTCTTACTGACGGACAGTCTCCACATGTACCCATGTACATCTCAAACCTCTATGCATCGGCTACTTTCCGTTCCCTATTTCTCATGGTTTTCAAAACTACGTACTTTGCAAAATCACATTCCACAAAACAGCTCAGCAGGATTACAAATAGCTCTGGTCCTTTTTGAAATCATCCTGTTTAAAACTTTGGTTCGCGTCTCTTTTATTCTGGGGTCTGCTATCATCCAAAGGCCTTATTGAATCTGATAGATCAATAGCCTATTTTTTCTTCCCACACTCTTTTAACTTTTTCTGATTATAAAATATAGTTTTCAGACAAGCATATTTAGCCCCGAATACATGGGTAACTTCTTGCTGCTACATTTTATGCTCATCACTCGGTAGTTTCACGTAAACTGTATCAGGAGGTCACATTTGAACAACATTTCTCAGATCCAGCCAAGGGGGTGTCCGTGCGAGTAGTGGTGGAGAATGCCCTCTTTGCCGGGATACCTGGAAACAGGAAAGTAATCTGTATTTCTTTCCCATTTCCCCCACAGGCTCTTAAAGGAGGCTTCCCTCGGCTCCAGAGCTGCTTTGCAGAGCTTGGTGCCTTGCCGAAAGAAGGGGTGGTCCAGCCCAAAGAAGAGGCTGTGGTTCAAGCGGTGCTGGATGGACTGCAGCAGTTCAAACAGTACACCGGTCAAGGTATGGCCGGAGCCTGTCTGAACAGCTCTTCTGTGGAGGTAAGAAAGTGGGCACAACCGAAAGGGCAAGAGGTCCAGCACATCTGAAGCAGGAACAAGGCAGAATAGCCCAAGCGTCCTCAAAAGAATTCTGCCACCGCCAGGATCCCCCTATAGGGGTGTCATGAGCAAACCCCGTTATTGTTCTTTGATAACAGGGACCTGTTGGGTAAATCAGGTATTTGGGCCATAGCAACCAATATATCTTTTGGATAAAAGTTTGCTGGGGGTTTTTGGAGTTGGTTGCGCAGTTCTACCCAATGGACGCTCAGAAATGTTTCTGCATATTTCTACCAATGAATTTTTCTAGGAGAAAATAAACAATGGGTCATGGCCACCTCCACCTTTTGGAGGAGATTTATCGTGACATTTACAAGGCTTTTAAGCTGCTTTAATCAGAACCCACCCGAGCAGCATACAATACCTTATCTTTAAGTTACAATAATAATGTGCAGAAAGATATAGTATGTTATACCCTTCTTTACTATTATCAGCCTCTCAAGGAAAAAAACACGGTCATGCAAACTCCTAACAGCCGGCTCTTGCCCAATAAGCGGTTTCACGGGAAGCGGGCAGTGATAGAGAAGACATGTAGCGCTGCTTGAGCGAGGGGACATAGAGGGCCCGCCCCTCTTGATCTGATGGGGCAGACGGACGTGAGTGGGAGAAGCCTTCCGGCAGATGTCCATGGTGGGCGTGACAGGGGAAGGATATACTGCAAAATCCCCCTTCCCTCCCCACCCCACTAACCTGCTTTCCAGCTCCATTCTCCTGTGCAGGGAAACAAAAGAAGATCCAGCCAATCAGCTGGGACTCGGGAGGCAGAGAATAGATGGGGTTGGTGGGGCCAGTCAGAGGTGGCATTGGCCGGTTCTCCGAAGTACTCAAGATTTCTGCTACTGGTTCTCCAGAACTGGTCAGAACTGGCTGAATACCACCTCTGGGTGGTGGGCCCAGCAAGAAGCGGCTATCACTACTTAGGTGGCTGTATTTGGATGAAAAGAGTTTCTGGGTGCTCTTCAAGGTCAGCCCCACCCACACAAAGTGCATTGCGACCATTCACTGCACCAAAGGCTGAGTGATTAAGCGAGGCCTCCTGTTCCAGGAGTGCTTAGAACTGAAAATTTCCTCCACGGTGATCAACAGCCTGATCAATAACCTGAATCATGGTTATTTCAAGGCCACCCAAACCCAAACAACCCTGGACCAAGGAGATTTTGTGAGATTTCTAACTAAACAGGGGTTTGAGCTAATCTCCCTTGGGCGACCTGTCTCTTTCTCTAATGCAGGGGTCCCCAAACTTGGCCACTTTAAGACTCGTGGACTTCAACTCCCAGAATTCCTCAGCCAGCTTTGCTTGAAGTCCACGAGTCTTAAAAGTGGCCAAGTTTGGAGACCTCTGCTCTAATGCATCTGATGGGCATTGTAGCTGCCCACCTGGGCATGACAAAGACTGGTGAGCGGCCATCACGCCTGGCTCTGCTTTGAGCAGTTATCACGAGGAGCCTGAGTGTGCTGTGGATTAGTACAGAGAACCCTCTTCTAAGCTGCTACACTTTGACTTTTCTTCCAGATTACAATCCTGACTAGCCAGCCCAGCAGGAAAATAGCCAACCAACTGGATGCTGGATTGCAGGGCATTGACCTGGTTAGCCTCCACCAACTACAGGTGGTTGAGGTTTCTCAGCGGGCAGATCAGGAACTCCCTGGGGCACAGTGGGACGGAGAAGTATCCAGCGGCAGTGGGGGTGAGTACAGCAGCCTGACGTTTATGCCGAGAAATTGGAAAACCTGACACCAGCTACACCTACCTCTGATGAGTGCAGTCAGTCTAACAAAACTCCTCCAGGAATGGAAGGTGAGCCCTGGAGCCCATGACAATGTCAGCTGTTCTTCATCCGTGCTTGAAATCTCAAAACAAAAAGCAGGCTGGCATTAAATTGTCTCTTCCCGTTGCCAGAGCAAGTGAGAAAAGCTCCTTACAGTTCCAAGCCGGCTCTTTGTTCATTTGTCCACCGTTTCTTTCGTTTTTGTAACAACCTGTTGATGCAGAACCTGAAGCGTGCCTGCCACAACCGTTAGTGAATTTTAGCCGATCTAATAGAGGTACCTGCTCAAACTGTTAATTCTGGAATTGATTCAGAAGGTTTTCTTTTTCATTTTTCAAAAGAGCGAATGTAAAAATGGACCGAAATGCAGATTGTTGCCATCAACTGGATAGCAGTGGATTGTTGCCACCTACTGAAATCTTTTGTTTCAGCTTCGTGCTGTGTCAATGCCATTTCTCCAAGATCTCATTCGTCCCTGCTGGCTCGGATCCCATGAATCTGCATGAATAATCAGAATCTTTGGCACCAGTGGGTGTGCTGTGGCTCTCTTCAAGCGCTCTTGTGGTGGTGGAGAGACTTCGGCACACTCAAAATCATCCCTCGAAATTAGACTTTCGATGAAAAGCTGCTGTGTGGAAAGGGAGCAAATGTAGGTTGCCCACATCTCAGCAATCAATCCGTGGAACAACTTGCCTCCAGAAACTGTGAATTCTCCAACACTGGAAGTTTTCAAGGAGAGATTGGACAGCCACTTGTCTGAAATGTATAGGGCTGTGATGGCGAACCTGTGGCACCCGTGCTGGCACACGAACTGCAGGCAGACTTACCTCACTGAGCATGCGTGTGCCTCACAGCTGATTTTTGGCCGGTTTGAGGCCTTTTGGGGCCTCCCAAAGACTTGAGGAAGGCTTCTGCAGGCTTCTGCAGGCCGGAAACTAGCCCCGTTTAGTCACTTCCTGTTTTTTCCAAAAATACCAGAAGTGACGAAACGGGGCTAGTTTTCGGCCTACAAAGCCTGCAGAAGCCTTCCTCAAGCCTTTGGGAGGCCGAAAAAGGCCTCAAACCGGCCCAAAATCAGCTGTGAGACGCAGTGCAGGTAAGGGGGTGGGTGGGTGGGGGTGGATTACGCGTGCATGCATAGGGGGTGTGGGGGGGGCCCGCATTGCCTTCTGAGTGTTGGCATGCGAGTGCAAGCGTGCAAGCGCACGCACAATTTTTGGCCCAGGAGCCCCAAAAGGTTAGCCGCCACTGGTATAGGGTTTCCCGCCTGAGCTGCGGGTTGGACTAGAAGACTTCCAAGATCCTTTCCAACGCTGTTATTTTGTTTTACCTGTGAATCCAAAGGACCGTTTGCATCTCATTAGACTTGAATCTATCTTCACGGCTCACCAACTCTAATATCCTCGATAAAGGGGCCGCCTTTCCCTGAGCTGCTGCCCATCACGCAGCCACCCTGGCTGATATTTGCCCTCTTTTTTTTCTCCTGCAGCTGCTGAGAAGGGCTGTAAATGCAAGCAGGCCGCCACGTATCCACGTTTTGATCACGTGGCCACAAGGGCACTGCGACGGCTGTAGGATCAGCTATAATTACCATTTGTTCAGTGCTGTCCTGATTGTTCTAAGACTTGATCCAGATCCTTAGTTCTGTTAATGGACCCCAAAATAGTGTTTGCCTATCTCAGGCATTTCTGTGGTGCATATTCTCTGTATCCAAATGTTCTCTGCTTTTGGAAAGCGTAAGGGAATGATAGGATAGGATAGGGAATTGGGAAGAATAGCTTAATGCTTTGCACAGGAACTTCAGATTCTGCCTCACCCCTTAGGAAAGCATGGCTCTTGAAACCATTAGTTATTCAAAGGAACTTTTACTGGGAGAGAGTGACTGTGGAGAAGTCAGGTAGAATCTGAAGTCCCCACGCAAAGTGTTAAGCTATTCTTTCCAATTCAAACCCCACCCCTGTTCACTAGTCCACCGGTAGCCAATACAATTCTGCATAGGTGTTTTGAGAACTCTGAGGCATTAGCTTGATAGCAGTTCATCCCCAGGACATGACAACCTTGGTATCAGGCTGGAACCTGATGGGATAAAATCCATCTGTCTAGGCCTCCCTTCCTAAATCCCACGTGGTTACAGCAAAAGTGTGCAGAGAATGCAACCACAATAGCCTCCTCCCCATTCCTCCATAGGAATGGCAGCGTCCCAGCAGGGGACCTGACAATAGGATAGGATAGGATACAAGAGGATATGATACAAGACACAATATGACAGAGTACAATACATTACAATAGCATACAATAGAGTAAAATAACAGAAGAGTATAGAGAATATAAACTAATTGAAAATAGAAGAAAATAGAAAATAAATAGAAATAGAAAAATAGAATAATTTATTGGCTAAGTGTGATTGAACACACAAGGAATTTCTCTGGTATCTAAGCTCTCAGCATACATACAAACAATAAATAAATAATAAAATCAGTATACATACAAACATACAAGCAACATGTACATATAAACAAGTGTACGTACAGAAAACAAGGTAATATAAGATACCAATAGGAGAAAGTAATACAGAGGGTGAGAAGGACAATAGCAGTACAGCCCTACTATATGGGTAAACATCCTTAGGCATAAGACAGTGCTGCTGTGGGAATTAAGCGTTCAGCAGAGTGATGGCACAAGAGAAAAAAATTGCCTTTTTGTCTAGTTGTTTTGGCAGGCAATGCCCTACAGCACCACCCTGAGGGGAGGAGTTGAAACAGTTTAGGTCCAGGATGTGAGAGGTCTATAGATATTTTCTCAGTCCTCTTTCAGACCCGCGCAATATACAGGCCCTCAGTGGAAGCGGGATGATTGCAATCGTTTTTTTTTCCTGCAGTCCTAACTATCCGTTGAAATCTCTTGTCTGTCCTGTTTGGCTGCTGTGCCAAACCAGACAGTCACTGAGGTACAAATGACAGACTCAATAATTCCACTGCAGAACTATATCAGCAAATCCTTGGGCAACCTGAGCTTTTTGAGTTGGCGCAGGAAGAGCACTCCTCGTTGTGCCCTTTTTAATGATGTCCCGCTTAATCTCCTCTTCTCTTGCAGAGAGCACAACAATCTTGAACACAGAGGTTGATTTACACACTGTGGAGAACAACGTGGTAGCCTTAGAGGACTTTTTCAAAGCCTGGTTGCATGACCACGCTCCAGATCAAGAGCATCTTCATCTCCTCCTGCCTGCCGGGACCACCGGCCACTCTGGGGCACCCAGCAACAATGCAGGTAATCTTGCTCTCAGGTGCCAGGCAGGCATCCGTGACACCTTGGTGCCATTTTCTTGAGAAGCGAATTACAATAAACAAAAGCAGTAAACCATAAAAGAGACCAGCAAGAAATTGTGTGTACTGTCCAGGATTATACACATACTGTGTTTTCTTGCTAGCCAGAGACTTGAGTGTTGCGTGTCCGTGTTCCTGGCTTTTTTGGGTAGCAATTTTTGCTACCAGTTCAATCGAACTGGGCTGAACCAGTAGCATACCACCACTGTGGATATTCCTTTACTTTCCCTTACATGAACAGAAGATTCAAGCTCTTCATCGAAGTTTTCCTAGATCTCAAATTCATGTTATACCTGCCCTTGGGTGGGTGGGTGGGACCGGGGAAGGGGTATTCTTTTTTCCTTTCATTTTACTTTTCTAGCCAAATAAGGTTTATTACATTTTTAAAAAAAAAAAGTGAGGAGAACACAATGACCACAAGAGTAGGAAAGACGCAAAGAATACAAGTCTCCTTTTATTCAGAGGCAGGTATTCTTTTTCAATTCAGTTTTCTTTCTTTGGATTATGTGTTGTAATTTTATAAGTAATTCATCAACTCTCCGGAGTGGAGTCATTCTGCAAGGCTGAAAACCGGAGAGCAAAAACAGATCAAAGGGAGGACTTCTTCCCATCTCTGGAATTTGCTCACGCCACCAATTTCAGTAGTTTGAGATGGGGCTCGGGCCATTCTAGGGGAGAACATCAGGAAAGTCCTTTTGGATTCAACTGTCTGTGGGACAGGGGGCTGGACCGGCTGCGTCAGTTTCACTGGGCTGCTACCTGCCTGCTCCCACCGCAGCTTCTGCTGCCAATGGGGACCCTCTCCCACAGCAGAACAGGTGCTTTGAGCCCCGCTCCCTACACACACACACACACACACACACAGGATCAGCTGGGCAAAGAAACAAAAACCACACCACACACCTGCTTCAGTGATAGGCCACTTGGGCCCTTCGTTCTGCTCTCCTGCCTCTACAGCCTGGCTGAAGTGTGATGTCCAGGAAAGATTTCTCAGCCCCGCCCAGCTTCCTGCCGCTTGTGAGGGTGGAACAGCAGGAGCGGACAACGCTGCCGGTCCATTCTGGATGGCACCCGGCCTGGCCCCGCGCAGACTGAGAGTCCTCAGGTACCCGATTGGGTGACGGTCGGTCCCCGTGACTGTCCCACACTTGCTTCCTAAGAAGGACGACGCTTCTTCCCTAGCTCTGCCCAGACACAGATTTGACTCCTCTACTCTTAAATGGGGGTTTCTCCTTCACTTCAGGCCTGCAGGCAGCCTGCTGTGTTTTGATAATACTACTGCTGCTGATAGCACGCTTAAGGGCTGTGAATAGACCTCCCCACTCCCCTCTATTGGCACAAATCTGGTGCAGGCACATTCCTGTGCAGTTCTGGGGCACTGCCCCTCCACGGTCATTGTGGCTTTGGCCATGGCAGACTGGCTTCCTGGGTTGTGCATGCGGGGAGGGAGGGATTGGTCGTCAGAATATTGATTTCATGCAAGACCGGCCATGGTCTTTCGGGAAATCCCTTGTTTTGTATCCCAAAACTCATAACCTAAGAAGCATTCCCGGGTATATTAAGACAGATGCACGGCAGACCTCTAGTGAGCCTAGACTTGTGTCCAGGTGGTCTGGCAATACCCCCCACCCCACCCCACCTGTCGCCAGGAGAAGCGGCTCCAGTAGCACAGGAGCATCAGAGCAATCACAGCAGAGTGGCTGGGAAACTACCGGCAGTTTTTTTTTTGGCAAGGTCACTGTTCTCATAAATTAGAAATTCAGCATTGTTTGGCAAAGGGATTTCCTAGGAGCAGAAGTGGCTTTGGAGTAAGGAAGGGAAGCCTCATTCCTAGGTTTCCAAGTGTGGAATAACAGCTTCCCTTCTCTGGAAAGCGGGCTGCAAAGAACGGCCGATCCGGCGCCCTTTTCTTTTAACCCTGGGCTGGGAGACAGGCAGGCCTGCCAGTCATGTGGGTCTAGTTTATTCAAGAACCTGCCTCCTGGGCTCTCACCAAGGGCTCTTCCCCCCCGCACAGCTGTGCCTTCCTCAAGTCATGAGTCAGCAGAAACCGGTGTAATTCCCAGCGCCCAGAAAGCCGAGTTTCAGTCTGCCTAACAAAGCAGTTCACAATTTAAGAGCAGCATGCGGCAAATTGCTCAGCCCAGGTAGACCGGCTCCCATTTGCCTAACGAGACAATGCACGCCACTCCAGGACCATTCTAAGCGCAGCAGCCCATGGGGACGGGCCAGTGGCGGGATTCAAAAAATTTTTACTACCGGTTCTGTGGGTGTGATGGGCGTGGCTTGGTGGGCGTGGCAGGGGAAGGATACTGCAAAATCCCCCTTCCCTCCCCAGCCCACTAACCTGCTTTCCAGCTCCGTTCTCCTCTGCAGGGAAACAAAAGGAGACCCAACCAATCAGCTGGGACTTGGGAGGCAGAGAAGAGATGGGGTTGGAAGGGCTAGTCAGAGGTGGCATTGGCCGGTTCTCTGAACTACTCAAAATTTCTGCGACAGGTTGTCCAGAACTGGTCAGAACCTGAATACCACCTCTGCTCCCCACCCCACTAACCTGCTTTCCAGCTCAATTCTCCTCTGCAGGGCAACCAAAGGAGACCCAGCCGATCAGCTGGGACTCAACGGGAGGCAGAGAAGAGATGGGGTTGGTGGGGTCAGTCAGAGGTGGGATTGGCCGGTTCTCCGAACTACTCAAAATTTCCCCTACCAGTTCTCCGGAACCGGTCAGAACCGGCTAAATCCCACCTCTGGGGACGACACATGGGGCATTCCCTTCCCTTCTCCCCTCCCTCCCACTGCTGAAGGAAGGTGAGGCACCTAAGAGGCCCCAGCCATCTCTTGGGATGACCAGCCAGATGGGAGCAGGCCGACATGGGGAGCTCTCCATGCGTCCTCCCTTCCCCCTCACTGAATGGCCAGCCAGCACCTGGGCAGGGACGGGTTTAGTTACTGGCCTTCCTGGGACTCTTGTCCCCAAAGGGAAAGGGGGCAGTTCCACCCCACTGTCCAACAGGCTGGGTGGGAGTTCCTAGAATGCCCTGCGCAGAAGGCAAAAGGGCGCCGCCTCCCTCCCACGGGGAGCATGGATGCGCAGTCCCTCCTGGCAGAAGCAGTGGTACCCTCACAGGACCGACAGCCCTGCTTTTGACGGGGGAGCTAATTGGTTCTTTGCAAGCGCACAGAACACGTATGCGGCAACGGGTCCAGTGGTGGTGAAGGGGCCATTTGAAAAGGGGCCTTTGGAAGAAACACCACACCACACCACACACCCCAATTGGCTGGATTGGAAACAATTAAGCAGACATGCAAGAATCAGGAAGTCCCGAGGTTTATTTGCAGAAAAGCTCTTTTGAAAAACTTGGAGCGGCCCCAACACTTTTATTTTGCTGAAGTCGGTGTTCCATTCCAGTACTGCTTCCTCTTCCCCAAACGGGGCGTTCCCCTCTCCGTCCGGCCTGCAGGGTCGGTCAGGGATCTCTGTTTCAGGGAAGGAAACGGTAGGGGAGGCTGCCCCAGTGGGTGCCTGGCCAAGACAAGGTCGGTTTTGCCCAGCAAGCCCTCCCCTTCCAAGCATTTGTGCAAGCGGTGTCCCGATTGCAGCATTGGGGGGGCTCTGCAGCATTGGAGTCACCTGGAAGCCACCTGTCCCGTTTCACCCACCCACCCACCCACCCACCTCTGCCGCTTCCCTTGGATCATTCAAGGAACAGTTCTAGAAGAGTGGAAAACCCATTCTCTCCACAGGCTGCTCCCTTCTGGAAGCTGCCTTCATCCTAAAGAAGAAAAGGCGGTTAAAAAAAACAAACGAACATGGTGACAAACCTCTTCCTCCAACCCACCCTCAACCTAGCTGGCCATGTTTGTAAGGCAAGGGCCAGTCCTCCTCTCGGCCACCCCAACCTTCAGGGGAGGATGCAGGGGGGAGGGGGGGAGGTGCCTGCACAGCTCCTGCCCCTCCCTCCCTCCCTCCCTCCCTCCTGAGCCTGCCTGTTTTGTCTCACTGGGGGGCAGGGGGGCTGTGTCCACCTATCTTCAGGATATCTGTCCTCACTGACCGGCCTTGTAAAGATCTCCTTTAGCGCTTTCCTTGCCTCGCCCCCAGCCAGAAGCTTGACATTGGGGGGTGGGGGCTGGGGCTGCCTGCTCCCCAGTGACAAAACTTTCCTCTTGCAGAGCGCTGGAAGCCGATGGAGTCTGTGCATCGGTGCTTTTTGGTCTCCCTCTGGTCGTAAGGCCCACAAACTGTTGGCAGCTGAGCTGGGATGAACTGGAGACCAACCAGCAGAATTTCCAAGCCTTCTGCCACTGCCTACGAGTGAGTCCTAAGGGGAAAGGGGGGGGGTGTCTGCGGCAGGCGGGGGTGGAAAAGCCACCTTGCTGACACCCCCAAAGCTACCCAGCCTCTGGGGCAGAGGGGAGGGGAACCTCCTCTGGTTTTCCAGCAGGCGGGCCAGCCGTACTGCCGGCTCTGTGTTGGTTGCACCTCTCACGCCCACCGGGCAGGAGCATCCCCCTACTTTGTGGCACGCGGCACAACGCATACCGGTTGTCTTCCAGAAGCGGAAATGGCTGCTGCTTGCCAAATATGAGGCCTGGGGTGGGCCAGATCTCAGCGGGGGCCTCTCAGCCGGCTCCTTCCAGGTCCTGCTACCCTCGGACTCCGGCACCCTGCTGCTGCGCCCGTTGGTGGGCCGAGAGCTGCTGCTGCCTTGCAGCTTCCCTCCCCTCCCTGCTGACCTGCCTGAAGCAGCGCTCGCTAAAATGGAGGTATGTGTCAAGGGCCCCCGGTTGCGAGGGAAAGGGGCACCCACCCCGCCCCCGCCTTCCCCCGGGCACAGACCTCGCCTCTTCCACTCCAGGGCATCCTTGGCAGCCTGGAGTTTGAGGCAAGCTACGATCCCCTGCGGGCGACCAGTTATTTGTACCAGGCCCTGAAGAGGTACCTGGGCCGCCTGCCCGCCACCCGGGTTCAGCGCTGGGCACCAAGGCAGTGGCCCCGCCAGGTACCAAGGGGCACGCGACACGGGGAAGGGCGGGGGGCAAACATGGGCCCAGCAGCAAGGAACCAGCAGCAAGGAACTCCAACATGGCTGCTTAAGAGGGCAAAGGTGCCAGCCACCCCCCCGCTCCCCACCCAGAAAGGGCTCTGCCCAAACCCCTGGGGCGCCCCAATAGCAGGAAGGGCAGGACCTCCTCCCACCTCCTGCCCCTCCTCCTGCCCCAGCAGTGACAATGGTCCTTTCCCCCACAGCAGGGGGGGCGCGTGCATCCCAGCAGGGCCAGGGCCACAGTGGCCCCGCTGCAGGTGGCCCTCTCGCCTGCTGGCTCCGGCAGCCTCCCCCTTTCTCCAAGCCGAGGAAAGGCCACCCCGGAGTCCGAGATGTAGCAGCCTTCGGAGCGCCTTGACTTCTTCACAGCCGCAGAGCCAGGGCCCTCTTCTGCCGAAAGGACCGGAGCCCCTGGGCCCAAGGCAGCTTCTTGCACAGCAGCCCAGAAGACTCCACAAGAGGGGGCAGGGGGGGGTGTTGGATGTTCCCCGCAAGCCTCGGGCAGGAGCGGGGGTGGGGGGCCCAACCTGCCTGTTCCTCCCCACTCCTCTGGGCTCCGTGGGGAAGTCTGCAGAGGGGGAGGGGGCTCCTTGTGCCACTTCCTGGTTCCCGCTGTTCATCCCTCTTCCGGTCTGGCTCAGCCACATCCTCTGCGTCAATAAACCACCTTGTGACAGCCTGAGCAAGCGAGAGTCTCCTTCCCACGAACGCCCCAGCATGGCTTCCGCTGCCCCAGGAGCCCTTCTCAGCCTCCTGCAGAGGCAAGGCGGCCTCAGGCACGGTCCCAGAGCAGCCTCAGCCCACCACGCAGGCTGCCTCTGACATGGCGGGGAGGGGAAACGGGCCAGCAGAGGCTCCCCCCAATATTCTTCGGCAACCAACAGAAGCGTCCTCTTCCTAAACGGGAGGCTTTCTGGGCTCACTGCCAAAGGCTACAGTCCCAAAGAAGCCATGTGCCCCGAGGGCCAGGAGGCGGCTGTGTGTTCCCCAGGGGTCCGTCCTTCCTTTGGAGGCCCTTCCCGCACAGTGGCTTCCTGGCTTGGCCCGTGTGGCCCTCGGGCTAGGCCGGGGCCCTCTTGGAAGAGGCAGCCTTCACCGCCCAACAAGGTTGCTGTTGCTTGGGGACTTCCAAGAACGTGTTAAGCGTGGCCGGCCGCCCTCCCTAGCAGGCAGCCTGAAGAAACCGCAGCCCCCGCTGGAAAGGCTGCTCCGGCTCAGGGTCCCTTCTCAGATCTCCCCAAGGTCTTCGTACACTGCAGCCAGCCGGCTCTCGTCCACCGACTGCTCGGGTCCCAAAGGGCCGGGGGCCGAGGGCGGCTTGAACACGCGGCTGTAGATTGGGTCGCCGCCGTTGTTGCTGTTGTTGGTGTTCCGCAGCCCCTCCGGGGCGGGGGCCGCTTTGGGCTTGCTGGCCTCCGGCGGAGTGGATTTCTTGTGCGTCCGGGGAGGCTTGGGGGTGGGGCTAGGCCTGGGGGGTTTCAGCCCGGCTTTTTGGTGGAAGGCAGGGACGGCATAATCCCCGGTTCCAGGAAGGCACGGCAACTCGTAGCCCGCTTGGCTCTCCAAGCCCTGAGTCCGCCAGGCCTCGCAGGGGAGGCGCGCCTCGTCGTAGATGGCAGCCAAAGGCGGGGTGGGCCACGGGGCCCTTCCCTCAGGCTCATCGTAGATGTGCTGCTTGTCGCTCGGGAGCCCGTGGCCCTTGCCGGTCTGTGGCCTGAGCTGCTCCTCCACCAGGCCGGAGCCCCAGCCTGGCCCTTCCTCCAGACGCTGGCTGTCCACGGGGTCAGCGTAGACGAAGTCTGGCCAGAGCTGCGAGCCCTTCACCGCGTCCAGCGGCTCGGAGTAGACGTTGTTGGTGTCCTCCAAAGATCCAGGTGCCCCGGAGAAAGAGGGCCACGCCGAGGAGCTCGGCCACGGGTTCTGCCCTTTGGGCGCAGCGGCTTCCTTCCCCTCCCCGGCAACGCTGGGCCAGGCCGCCAGGGCGCTCCTGGGCGCCCGCCTCTCCGAAGCAGCAGCAGCAGGAACAGCAGCGCCCTCGCCCTCCAGGCTGAGGGAGTTGGCCACGGCGTTATGGAGGGAGAAGGCGCTGGAAGGAGCCTCCATCTCAAGGGAGCTGCTGCTTTGCCGATGCTCTTCCACTTGGGCCTTCTGGGCCTGGATTGCAGCCTCCACCACGTTGAAGATCTCGTTGCCCTGCTTGGTCTCAAAGGTGAAGTTGCCGGGACCGGATTCACAGCGTCGGCCAGCTTCGAAGGAGAACATCACCTGCAGGAGGGAAGGGCGGGGCCCTGTGGTCAGCCAGGGCCTTCCCAGGGCAAGTGAGGCAGCCCCCAGATGAGTTTGTCCCCCTCTGGCTCAGCGAGTCCAATTTTACCCTGCTTCCCAGGCCTCCCAGGGGGAGAGGGGAGAGGGCAAAACCCCAGCTCTTTTACTTCCCGACAAGCTCACCTTGTCCCTGCCGTATCTGCGGAGGAGGCGATAGGGCCACGTGTAGAGGGCCACGCTGGAGGGGGCCTCTTTGAGGATGAGCTCATTCCAAGAGGCCTTCAGCACGTACCTCCCTTGCAGCTTGCAGCGCTCCGCAGCTTCGGTCTTCTGCACGGTGACCCAGAACTCATTCACTGCAGGGGAGAAGTCAGAGTAGACAGCTGTCCTCGCGGGAAGGCAACCGGGCACCGTCACCCCATCCCTTACAAAAAGGGGGTGGGTGGGAGAACACATACCAGGCCCCCCAAGAACCTCCTGTACTTCCCGCCCGCCTCAGTAGCTTCCTAGGCAGGGTCCATTTTGAAAACCAGGAGCAATCCCACCTCTCAGCCCACGTGTGTTGCTGCTGCTGAATAAAAGTTTCCGAGAGGGACCAGCTGAGCCATCCCAGTTACATGCCGGCCACACTCAGCCACCAAATCCTACCTTCTTCTCTGGAGCAGTAAATGGAGTTTGTGGCCATTTCCAGGTCCCGTTGTCCAATGCTCTCCGTAGCGGACGGGGTCTTTTTCCCAGGGTTAGTCTGTGAGGAGAGGCATGAAAAGTCTCAGTGGCAGCCCTTCGCCTGGCACTTCAGCCAAAAGAACCAATTCCTCCTCGGCGGCCCAGAGTCCTTGACAGGACTGGCAACTGCTTTGGTGTC